CAGGGTTTCCTTGCTTACAAGGTTGGCCACTCAACCCTGTTCTCCGCACCGTTCTATAGAGTTTAGAAAACCCGGGTAGCAATAACTAAGGCGCGCGAAAATTAATCCATGCACAGCGCTTCCTTAAAAAAAAAATATAGAGATACGGGTGGCACATTTTTGTTGGCGGGGTGCAACCGCAGTACCATAAGGCAAGGGGAAAGATAAAAAAAACAACCTGAAAAAAAACGGCCAGTCGCTCCCTAACTCCTGAATTTCCCATATTCCCCATGCGAAAACCCCGGGCAGAGCTTCGGGAGATACTTTCAGCGCTGTGGTCTAAGCGCAACTACCATGATTTTCTTTTCCGAATGTTCGGCGTACGCGAGGTCGTCATTTTACGCCTTGAATATCGCGACAATGGGAACACGGTGTTCCCTGGGGAAAATCCACCATCGCGTGGTATGGTGTATCACGTACTTTTCCACGAAACGTAAAAATTAAGCATACTAGTCGACCCATTAACTTTTTTGTTCGGGTTCTCCGGCACAGAGCTATTATTATTTTATAGGTAACTCGCTTACGTGAGAGGAAAATACCCAATACCAAACCCCACCCCGAAACCCACCATGAGGGAGAGCCAATATACTCACCGCGGTTTTCTTGGCTCCTCTATCGTTCAACGCTCCTCTAAGTGGTGTCCTCGGAGCCTTCAAACACACGAAAATCGTCTTTGAACCGTGAAAAATTCAATTCCTTTATCGTCCAAAAAACCTCCACAGCAATTTTCCCTCACCTGTAGTGTGACCTGCTCCAACATTGCGGAACAATCAGCTTCGCTCTCGCCCGGCAAAAGAAATTCAAATTTTAAAATCCCGTATGGGATGGGACATATAAAAATTTTTCCCAATCATTCCACGGTATAAAGCTTAGCGAAACCCTCAAGTTTTCGAAATTGAACCCTACCGTATTTATAATTTAGTCGCTCCCGACCCTGGCAATCTCTGTAGGGCCTTCCACCCAATGCCGAAAACGGACCCACCCTAACCGGGTTCTTTCGGGGCTTCATACCTCCGAAAAATAAATGAAAATCTCTTTCCAGCTACACGACGTCTCTCTCGTGCGCCTTGCACTTACGTACTCCTTAAAGGATTCTTGCGGAATTCCTTACACAGGACATAGGAGTTTTAAAGACCATTGCAAAATCTTCGGCATCGGTGAAGATGCCTTGTGCTGATTCTGCGAAGAGGAATCAGAGGACACCCTACACCAGGGATGGGTAACCTCTGCTCTGAGAGCAAGTCGTGCTCCCGACCTCTATTAGTTCATAACAAAGGGTAAACGAAAGCTTATTGTGTCGGGTGACGGGCCTTTATGACCTGAGTCGTAACGGGCCTTCTCCTCGGCTGAAATCAACCAAATGGGGGGTAACACTCAAAAACAGGAAAAGAGGAGAAACGTCGCTGAAGAAAAGGAAAAGCGGAGAAATGAGTCAAAAATGGAAAATGTGAAATTTCCTTCACCATGACATTTTTATTAATTTTCAAAGCAGATGTTACAAATGAAATGTAAAAACCAGCTGTTTAATTTCAGAGGCAAGGAACAAACTCCACAATGCCATGTTCAAGTAGTGCCGCAACTATTTATTCAAGAAATGACATTGATTGAAGTAAAAATGTTAATTGAAGCAAATAAAAAAAAAATATTATTTAAAAAAAATATTTCTTTTCTATATTCGGAATCAACATCAGCCGACCAAAACTGCAATGTTTGGTATTTTTTCCTTGACATATTTTTCGGTAAGGTCGATATTGGACCAAAAATTTAAAAAGCAAGCTGAAAGATGTCATCAATTCGGGAAGCTGAATTTAACGAGTACCTTCATGTTTATTTCAATGACCAATAGTTATCTTCATATTCAAAAAATTTTTTTTCCATGTGTGGATTTTTAAATTTATATTAATCGCGGCGGCCATTTTCCCCATTTTATCATTTGACAGAGACGTCATGGGACGCTCCCCAATACGGCGACTGTGAGGCCGCCCCACTACTGTCCCCACTATGATCGTACTAGGACCCTTGTAATTGGCATGGTTATAAACTTTTGTGACGTCCGTTAGAAAATTCATTTAAATTCATTTCTTTACGTCGTCATTCAATTATCTCAGTGATAGAAACTACTTTTGAAACCCAAATTATCTTCTGTAAAGTGACCCCCTCGATGTTAAGAATATTTCAGCTGCATACATCTGTGAACGATAAAAATGTTCCCAGCGTCGAGTTTCTTCTAGATTAGGGAAATAATCAGCTGTGCAGTACCACATGCACGATACACACTCAAGCCTAGTCTCGACTCCTTAATCATGCACTTTCCACATGTGATCATAAATTTCAATAAACATCGTGCTCTCAAACCGGAAAACTCTTGATAACAAATTCTAAGCGTGGGTCCAAATTTTGGAACTCCCATGACAAATATTAGATATAAAAATAAAGGAACGATTTTGTTTCCCACGGGGAGGAAACGACATAAACATTAATGAACATGTGGTATAAACACATGAAAATATTCAATACAACAGAGTAGTTCTTTTATGAATAATCTGCTTTTCGGATATTAATTAAACTATGATAATCAGTTAAGAAATAGTGGTAACGTGAAAAAAATCACGAACTAATTAAGGTTAAGCAACATTTCTCATGTTATTCAGTTACTATTAAATTACTATTCTATTACTAATAATCTTCGATGAATTATAGTTTATAAAATTTCACTGAATTGTTTCTAAATATTAAATAACAAAAATGTTAATTTTAAGTTGGAATGAGGGACCAAAGAGAATTGTGAAGGGAAAATGTGGGCATTCCTAAAACAATTTTAATTGGTTGTTCGAGAATAGAAAAGACCGCCTACACCCCAAGAAAAACATTTTCATGTAGAGAGATGGAGTTTGATCTCGAAACAAGGAGATTTCAAACCACTAGAGTGGGAAATTCCGGCTAGAGTCTTCTGTAATTGGTCCCCGAAATTTCCCTATGTATTCTGAGGACACACCCGCCTAGATGAAACTATAAAACCTTGTGCGCGATAACAGCAAGTCAGTTACAGTTCCGATTGCAGTTGCAGTCATCACTACAGAAGTAGTAGTAGCTCATACCTGAGAGTTATCATACTCCAGTTTCTTTTGGACACGGTTCCAATTTTATTTATCGACCTATTAAGGCGATAATTCAGGTCCTTCACGACCTTTTCAAATTTCAAATAGTCTTGCATGACTATCTTTTGTTTTTCTACATTTGTAATCATTCGTAATTCAAAATTATTGTATTGAATTGAGTCTAGTGACCTTTATAATAAATCTAATTCTTTTATTGAAAGCTTAAAATCAGTGCGGCATTAATCTTAATTTGAAAAATAATCTACCACTGACACCAGAAGTTTACCTGTAAGTCTACCATTGTAATTATCTTATTTTATTTTTAATTTCTTGTTAAAATACAGACTCTACTGAGTCCTCTCAGAGTAACTCAAAATTTATTTTCATTTATCCCAAGTGAGCCTTTCCCACTCCTAATTTAAATACCTTGGAGTTTAAGAAAATTAAAACAAAAGGGGACATTTTCAAATGGGTTTGTTTTTTTTTTTGAATCTCATCGTTTAATTTCGAAGTCTTCTTAATTGAATTGAAAATTGTGTCAAGTGACCCATTCTTGACATAACACTTTATTAGATTCCTAACTCGAGTTTATGACTCTGCTTCGAGCTCACCTGGAGGTTGCCCATCCCTGCCCTACACATCTGGATCGGAAAGGTTCGATCTTCCTAAAGCTGGTTACAAAAGCCGGGGTGGAAATTTAATCCGCAGTCCAATCTAGGCAGATCTACAATAACTCAAAACAGAGTTCGGTGGCCACAGGGAGGCAAGTCCGCTCATCCGCGATTTTTAACTTAAGACCCGGATAGACCATCTATCGAACGTCATTTTTTTTTTATTTTTACATTTTTCCTTTTTCCGATTACCATAGTTTCTTATCATGGTTTGATAGGCACCCCTTCGTCTTTAGCCTTTAGCCTCTCCTATTATCCTCTCACTATTTTTTGCGGTGCCATGGGCCGACTTCCCGTACTGCGCCCATTTGGCTTGTACTGAGGGAAACCATGAAAAACCTCAGTAGCGCAGCCGGCCGGTAATGCGGGGATTCTGCTGTGTTCATCAGTCACACTGGCTCGGTGAACACAGCAGCTCTCTGCACCCGTGCCTAACGGAGGCAGTCTACACGCCGAAAGGTGTGACTAAGCGGGCACCCATCCAAGCACTAATCCGACTGAGCGTTGCTTAGCCTGGATGACCGCCGGAGTTACACACCACTCGCGTGGCTACTGTCGCCGCTTTATCGACCGTCATCTTTTGTTTAAATTTTATCATTTTCGCCTGAAATACATTAAAATTTGGGATCAAATTTATGTTGCGGGAAGCACTTGAATGCACATAAGACAACAGTGAAAAAAAAGCGAAAAATTATTGAAGTGCGCTAAAGAGTGATATTGCTTAATCGGGATCTATGAAGTTTAGGAGATAAATTAAGGTTTTGGCTAAATACCCCCGCTTTGAGGGACAAGCAGTGACCGCAGAAGACAAGTGAGCCCTTCAATGGCTCATGGCTCGATCGAAATTGTCCAGATCAACTTGCATCACAGAAAAAGTGCCTCGGCTATACTTTTCCGGACGCTTGCTGGGATGCACACAGCCATAGCTCTCATCCAAGAACCGTGGTTGGTGGATGGGACTATCAGACGCCTGGGGGGATGTGGGAGATTGTGCCGCGCGAACCCCAGGAAACATAAAATGAGGACATGCATCCTGGTCAAAGGGACGGAAGCTGCTCTCATACCGCAGCTCAGTAAGGGAGACTTGGCCGTAGTCCAGTTGAAAGCCCAAATACGTGAGAATGAAACGTTAGAATATATGGTAGAATCTGCTTACCTACCTTACACCTGAGATGGAGGCACTGGCCTGAAGATGGCCAGAGTGAAGGACGAGGGAACAGAACTCCTGCTTGGTTGTAATGCGAACTCACACCATCTGGGGTGGGGAAGCTCAAATACCAATGCCAGGAGAGAAGCCCTACACGACTTCATGATGGTCAACGACCTGCTACTCCTGAAGAGAGGAACCGAGCCGACCCTCACAAACTGTAGAAAGCAAGAAGTGCTGGATATCACCATATGCACAGTAGGCATGGTGGACTTGGCTAAAGACTGCAGAGTCTCTAAACAACCTCCGCGCTCTGACCATGGTCAAATACGCCGAGTGCGAATAAGCTGAGTGGCAGAGTGGATTCAATTCGGAAGAGAAATCCGAAAAAAACGGACTGGACGGGGTACAAGGAGGAGCTCTCACTGAGAATCCAGGACGTACCCAGTAGGTTCGAGAACGAGGAGCGACTGGAATATGCAGGCGAAGCTTTCGGAGAATCAATCACAAGCTCTTTTGAAACCAACTGTGTAATGCGTGCCATCAAAGGAACCAAACAGGTGAGCTGGTGGAGCACAATCTTAGCTAACCTGAGGGACCAGGTACGGCGGGCGTGGAACAAAGTGAAAAACTCTTGCAGCAATCTATGCAGGAGGAAGGCCGCGGAGAAACGTAAACTACTCCAGGAGAAATTCAACAAAGCCCTGGCGAAAGCTAGGAGAGAAAGGTGGAAGAAATTCAGCAGCGGAATCGAGAACCTGTCCGAGGCCTCCAGGCTGGTTAAATTACTGGGGGGTCAGGGTGTGGCCAATCAAGGCTATTTATTGAAGCCAGATAGCAACTATACCTGGACCTCGGAGGAATCTCTTCAACTCCTGCTTGAGGAGCACTTTCCTGGCTTCACAGGCACGGAAAGCGCGAAAGAGGCTGCAAAGGAAACTAGAAACCGGTATAAATCACAGGATTGGGCTCTATCAGCCGAAATCGTCTACCCACAGGTAGTAAAATCGGCAATGAAATTCTTTGAACCCCGCGAAGCACCAGGACCGGATGGTATCTACCCGGTGTTACTACAACGAGAAATCCATGTCATCGTCGGGCCTCTTACTAAAATTCTGAGAGCCAGCGTAGGACTGAGAACTGTACTACGAGTTTGGGGGGAATCGAAAATAGTGTCCCTACCCAAGCCCGGTCCAAACGGCTATATCAAGAGAAGAAACTTTCGACCCATCAGCCTAACCTCCTTTGTTTTGAAAATATTAGAGAGGCTCGTAGATAGATACATAAAAATCACACTGCTAATAGCCAGGCCGTTGTGTTCTGCACAATACGCCTACAGGGAGGGGTCCACTGAGACCAGCCTTCAACACCTGGTGGCAAAGGTTGAGGAGGAGGAGAAGAGCCATTGGCACAGACTGGGGCTTGAGCCGAAAGATCAGTCTATGGCTGTACAAGATGGTTCTGCTGCCACGGCTGATGTACGTAGCTGTGGTCTGGTGGCCCGGGGCAAAGAGGGTGGAGATAAGGAACCGGCTCAAATGCCTACAGGGAAATTTCCTGACACCCACGGATACCCTGAAAATAGCCCTGGACCTACCTCCACTTGATGATCTTGTAGTGAGTAGAGCAGAATCAACAGCTTATTGACTCCTGTGCTAGGGGAAATGGATACAAGCTTGACATTCTCGAGAAAAATTCCTGGAACATGAACCATGATAGAACCAACAGAAAGTACCAAATCAGGACGGCCTTTAAATCCTACATCGCTGAGAAGGAAAACTGAGAAACTGTAAGGAAAACGGGCACCGATGTCATGCACTCGTATGTAGATAGCTTAGGATACAGAGGCCGCTTTGGAGCAGAACTGTGCGGGCCAGAGGAAAACTACAGGTGCAACTGGTCCTTAGGAACTACGGCTACTGTATTCCATGCCGAAGTTCTGGCAATCAAAAAGTGCTCAGAGCTTCTGGTGTCCCGGTTGACAGGCAACCAACACGTGTTTGTGTGAACAGATAGTCAAGCCGCTATAAAAGCTCTCCTCAAATCCAGTGCTAACTTTAAGTTCGTCTGGGAAACCATGGAGAGCCTGGAAAAACGGAGGACCAGCAACCAGGTAACCCTTGCCTGGGCCCCAGGTCACGAGGGCATCCACGGCAACGAGACGCCAGACAGGCTGGTGAAGCAAAGAGCAATAGACGCGGACGAGTCTTCGCCAGTAGGAGTCCCCCATGCCATGGGTCTAAGTTACATAAAGGAAAAGCTCCGACGTGAACAAGCGGAGCGGTGGAAAGACATAAAGACCTGCAGGAAGGCCAGCGCAATCATACCTGGCCCCAGCAAGAAAAGGTCGAAACACCTACTGGCAATGGACAGGAAGAGTCTGGCCACTACGATCAGGCTGCTCACGGGAAGAACCTTGCAGAGTCATCGGCCTGGACTCTGCAATGATGGGTGGTACAGATTCTATAATCTAACAAAAGAGAAGACACACATCCTATGTGACTGTCCGGCTTTAGAAGCGACGAGACAGGGCTGGTGGGGAAGTGCCTTCCCCACCGCAAAGTAAGTCGCGAACAAGGATGCAACGGATCTGTTAAGACTGGCAACAAAGCAAAGGCCGGGCTGGACTTAATGCCATCGTGGATGTCATCACCAAGAGCATCCGTCACCGTAGCCAGAGCCTAGCCGAGCCTGGCCGAGACACAGCCCTTGCCCGACGGCGTTTTTACCGAGGCTGCAGCGGACTAATAAAGGTTGCCCGAAACATAGAGAGTATACCGGCGAGGATAACCTCAAGCAGAGAACAAATCCAGTCAAGGCCAGCCTTGGATAGCCTTCTAGAGACTACTAAGAGAGCAAGTGAGCAAGTGTATGAGGTTCACTGAGAGCCAGCCGGAGCGGCTCTGCCGAGTAAGCGGGAAGCGTATACCTCTATGACACTCCTCCCTGCTCTCGACTCACGACCAAGTGGAGGCCGTCCGCCGTGACGTGCTGCCACTCTTCTAGCGTGGATATCCCTTACACTAACTTCTCCTACAGCAAATATCTCTTCCCCCTTGACCCCTTCAGACACCCCCCGTGAATGATCAGCCGTTTGAATAGCCGACCGGTCTAGCGTGGAGGGCTCCTATGCCAGTATGAATCCTATGCTGATGCCAGGAAGTCTCATAGAATAAATGGGAATGTTTCAACGTATCAGCCCTATGCTGTTGCCTATTCGCAGTCCTCTTACTCCTCAAGCATTGGAATCGCCCGAGACTGTTTTTAGAAAATTTCATAAAATTCTCCTCCCCAACTCTTCTCATTTCTTGACATGAAATATTCCAATACATGCATCGAGACAAGTCCCTCATTCGCTGGGAACATATAAGAGTTCTTCACAGTAGATAAACAAGGCCGGTTCTGGACATAGGGATCTGTGGGCGGTGCGGGGCGCGGGGCGGGTGAGGTTGCGGGGGAGGGCAATGCAGAAATCTGCTATGTCCTCAGTCGGCAATGTAGGGGGGAATCTTCTTTATCGGCCCCCGCGGTGGTAATGCTCAAGGCTCCATTTTGGTCCGGAATTGCGGGGGTGGGGGGGGGTTATCCACCATGTGATATCTGACGTTGAATATCCACCATATGATATCTCATTACTAATATCGTGTATGCGATGTCTACAATCTAATATCTCATTTCTGATGTCTAATATCTAATATTTCATAGCTGACAATCGTAGTTGCTAAAATTTTCAGATGTTCTATTGCCGGTGAATTTTTTTTTCTTTTATGCCACCTCAATGATCATAATTACAACAAATTAATTCATGATTTTGAAATTTGGTTTTCAAAATCATTATGAGTAGTAGAAACTAATAATGAGAAACATGAATTTTTTTTTTTCTTACGAAATCTGAGGAATGATTTTAAACTCGGTACTTCTCTCTCTCTCTCATTGAGGTTAAAGCGCGAACTGGTCCACCGCTCACGTGGCCGCGTGTGTTTGCCGGTGAGCACGTACGCGCCGTACAAGCAAAACACTCGGCCTCTTGGATGCGCAGTGAATCGTTTTCGAAGTGGAATGAATATTCCACCATAGTCTTCAATACATGATACCATGCAACATAACACAAGTTTAATAATTTGCACTGATCTTTCTTTTTGGGTTTTGCATTGGATGCTCATGAAATTGAACAAAACAGAAATTAATTGTGGACTTTTGAACTGAATGTTTCCCATTTAAATGGCACATCAATTACTTTATTTAATTAGATAACAATTCATGATAAGAAAACAGACACGAATCAATTTAATTTTTCAATAAAATTTCCTACGACTCAGTGAGTTTCGAATGCTTTCTGTGTGTTTGTGTGTTTACCGATGAGCACGTACGCATCACATAAACCTTGGTATTGACCTTGCTACGATCATGACATAGAGACGGAACAGTTCATGTGGACAAGTGCAAGAGTCATTCACCTCATCAGCTGAGATGGTGGAATTCAAAGTTGCATGGATAATGATTCATTGGAATGTAGGTATAAAGAATTTCTCCGAAAAATTTGATCGTTACGAATGTGGGTACTTTTCTAGGAATCAATAACGGTTTCCGAGAATAAAATTTCAGTTGTAACGAAATTTGGATAGACTGGTCGAGGGGATGAGGTGATATAAATCGCGAATTTTTCGGGAGAACTTTATTTGTAATCATGGAAAATCTCTCAGCAGAAGACATACGCTATTTGAATAGTACTCCACCGTACTATCCCGACTTTGAGGATATAGTGGAGAAGCATTTTGGTGATGTTCCACCGGAAAATATCTGGAGTGTCATCAGTGATGTGCAGTTTTTGGAGAGGAATTATGCTGCTGTGAGAAAGAAGAACGAGGAAGATGCTGCAGATGACTCACTCCTACCATTATCCATCCACATTACGAAAAACCTGGCTGTTATTCTTGATTGCATTGAAGAATTGATAGTGAGAGTGGATGATGATTTTGTGCGAGATCGTTGGGTTAGTTCATGGAGCAGTGGATCCAAGAGAAAAAGGGGGCCAAACCTGTACGAGAAAAGTCCAGCAGCCCCCATACTAGGCATTCTACATGAACTCAAACCCGGTGTAAACATAATGTTTGAATCATTGAAAACCGAGGCAGACTCGGCTCTTGGTCATGATGTCGTTGATGAGAAATAAAAAGATTTTCTTTTCCAATAATTATTGTTTATTTATTCAGTTGAATTATTACATTAATTTTTCAAATAAGTTTGTTGACGCTGCCGGTGAGTAATCTATATTCGATGATTCGATCGTGTAAGATTAAGCAGTAGGCTGCGGTGTTGGCGTCGAAGATCTGCGATGATTCAAACTCCAGACGAATGTCCACAGGGCAGGTTCTCAAGAACTCGCTCTGCTTGGAGCAATCGATGACGACGAGGGGTGCTGTTTTCAAGTAGTCTGCTCTACTGAATAGTGGTTCAGGCTCTTTATGGTAATAGGAGTCTTGGAAGCTGGTGTACATATCGTAGAGAAGAGCTGACTGGTTGTGTTGAATCTCCAAATTCAGATTTCCATATGGATAACTTTGCGAATTCAAGAATAATTTGATTTCTCGAATATTACAATGATCGAATGCAATGGCATCCGTCAAAGCCTGATTTTTTCTAGCTACTTGAAAGCCGAGAATGATGTAACGCGGTTTCTCCAATTGCGTTGAGCATTTCACCGTCCAGACATGCTTCGTTGTGCTCGGCAGCAGAGGATACTCGTACAATTCCCAAGAGCGAAAGCTAATCGGCACCACCGTGTCTTTTGAAATCTGATTGAGAAGCTGTACTTTTCCAGTGTCAGCAGGTTTAATGTAGGGTAGCATCCAATCGATCTTGATGATTGTGATTTCGAATTGCTCAGCTTGTGGCCCATCATTGGCTTGGAATATAGCATTAAACTCACTCTGTGACCGTGTTAGGATTAACTCATGCTTTGCATTCACAACAATTCTCTGATAATCTTCAGCGAATCCTAAAATCATGCTCAGGGGAATGGATACATCAAAATATCCTGCCTCATCAGTTATTTTCTTCTCGTTGTCAATTCTCCAGCCCGCATTTTCCATGAGATATTTCTGGCTAGGACTCTGAGAGATGTAATTTTTCATTAATGTTGTCAAGCCAACATTTTTACACCTGTCAATTTCCACTGAATTTAATTCATAGCGTATTTCCTGGAACAAATGACAGATGGCACTATTCACAAGTTGTGTATTTGCAACAAGTGTATTATCGGCTTTAGTTAATCTACCACAAATGTGCAATGAACTCTTGCATGGCAGTACATAGAGATCCTGGTGTTGTACAGAAATACGGATTTCGTCATTGTTGTTGAAGGAAGATGATGCAAATGGTTGGTGCGAATGAATCTCATAATGAGCAATCGACTCATCAAAGATTATCCGCTTCTGAATGTTCAGGATCTCTTCCATGGCAGATGACAGTAACAGCAGGCGATGAAGACACAGCAAACCCTCACTTTCCTCCTTTTCCGCGAATTCTTAGTCCCAGGGTCGCAGGAACGTGATGTTCTGCGATGTCAGCTTCGTGAGATGCACTAGACGACTGTTCGCTTGCCGGC